TTTAGTGCTTATGGTTTATTAAGATGCATCTCATTCATTTATTTCAATTTGGTAGAATGACTTATTTTTTTTACTACAACTGTAATAACAACTTTATTCTTTTGCATGTTCCAAGTGTTGGAACTGAAAAAGGGAAGCAAGCATTCAGTGTGTTTCTTCTACAGCCTAGAATCAACTTCAGTCAGAACTCAAGATGTCAGAAATTATTTTATTGGACATATTTTGAGCAGTTCTTAAAGATAAGCAACAAGAGTCAAGCAACAAGTTAAAAGTTTTATTGTTTTATACCTGTTAATATGTATTAATTGGTTTTATTTTGTAACTAGGTTATTGTGTGTTGCAGACTTCTGCCCAGCTCCCTCTTGAAAATGAGATCTAGATCTTAATGGGGTTTACCTGGTTAAATAAAGGAAATAAAATCAAATAGAAAATCAAATAAACAGTTGTAGTATGCCAACAACATGCTAGATAATGTTCAAACAGCAAGATAAATACTGGTAACCATGGCAACTGCTGAGAGTGTAAAGGCTGTCCTGCTCTTGCTGCAGTCAAGTTGTGCTGCATCCAGTCTGCTTGCAAGCAAATCATTTCTCTATTTTGTGCTGAAAAAATGAGAAAGAGAAGGACAAACTCTGAGGTCAAAAACCTATCCCCACCATATGAAAGGCAAACCTTCAACATATATTAACCTAAAACAGACACAGAAATAGAAATTATCATCAGTTGATTATTTCTGCTGTTTATCCAGTAGCACTCTCAGAATGATGACTGGATTGAAAATCAGTTTTTCTCTGTCACACTATTGTTTATTGATACAATTACAGAAAGGGGAATAAATTGTGTCCAAGAAGGATGTCTAAAGACAAATACTTTACCAAGATGTCCCTAATGCATCATAGATTTATCCACTAATTCACATCTTATTGACTCAGAATTGGGTAAATTAAGAAACAAACCAAAATCACTGAAAGTGTCACATATTGGACAGAGACAAAGAAAAAGAACCTTTTCAGACAACACCATCTTAAAAGATTACAAGGAGGCCTGGACTGATGAAACAAAACTACAATGATGTTAGGAAAATACCTGCTGGTTTTTTCCAGCAGTTGATCAGTTAATCCAACCTGTGCTTGCATGAATGCTGGAAACCTCAGGTGCATTTTGGGCTTCATCTTTAAACATCAATAAGCTAAATGCTAAACTGATTTACCAGTTTGTTAAATGCATTGGTTAAAGCCAACACTTTAGCAAAAAGAAAACTATATTGTTAAAAACAGAGCAGTTTGTGATGTTCAGACACTGAAGTAATCTGGGATGAAAAACCATCAGTGAAGTTGTAACTGATTTCTGTGAACTTCCATCAACCTTCATTCATTACCTGATAAATAAAAGAAGAAAAACATTCAAACATTTACTAGGAACATACATGAGGTCAGAACTAGTGATTGAAACTGTTGTTCCTCTTCACATGCAGACGATGATCAAAGCTACATGGCAGCACTAGCACTGATGACATGACAGTATGAACAATGATGCTTAATATATCAGCAAATAAGAGTTTTGTTTCAGAGCATCAACTGGAGATCACAGCAGTGCTCAAGTTTAAATGAGTGGATTTGTTTCTTCAGGGTGGCGTCCTTTTAGACAAAGATAATATAAATCTGTCACTATATGATATGCATGATCTGTGCAGGATATTCAAGAGCATATTAATATCATGGTGGGCTCCTCATTATGTACATTACATGTATTAGATAACAGAAGTTTCCATATCTTCTCTGCAAACTAACTCAGCCACGTTGGATAGAGAGAATTCTTGAACTGTTGATATTAAGTAAAAAATCTGGGATAACAATTACAATTAAGTGTAAAATTATTCAGAGAATTGGTAATGTAGATTAAATGCATCATCACATAACTAGGTTTTTCAGATCGGAAAGGAGAAGGCATTTCTCAAAAGATAAAGCAGGATGAAAGGAGTGTCAATTTTGAATTCTTGTAATTGCTTACTTTATTTTTGCATATTTCCACTGATATTTTAAAATTTTGAGACAAACATTTGAGGCTGGAAGGTTTCCTGTGGTTCCTCTGTAGATTTTTAAAAATCAGTTTCAAGTTGGGACTGCAGCTGGGTGGGTCCACAAATATCATAAATAATATCTATTGTAACATCCACTCTTTTGATAAGTCCAGTTCTAGTTTCTATTTTTGCCCATTTCTCCAGTTTGTACATAATTCCAATGATAAATATTTGAAGACTTTCAGTATGAGGTTTACATGTAAGGCATACTGTTCAGTTACCACCAGCTGGAATCAAACATTGAAGAGATCAGGTTGACGAGTCAAAAGTATAACTGGGGGAGTTTGTCAAACTCCACCCCAAATCCTGTGTGGAGAACGTGCAACTCTCAGATGCTTTGATGTTTACATTTATGAACAAAACTCTTGCATAATGATTCAATTTCACCAGACATAAAAAACAAACATGAGACGAAGACAAAATCAAAGCACATCCTCTTTCAGAATATGAAATATTCTCTTTTTTTAATGAGTTGAATTCAACCTCAGACGAACAAGAAACATAAGGCAGGGTGATGGTTTATTTAATCAGATATTAAGTCAAAATTCAAAAGCAGGATGTTATAAACAAGGCCCTGTCAATATCACGCTTTGATGCAAATATAGGTAGATTTTCTGCTGCATTTTGCACAACTCGTACAAATGCACAATGGAATTTTGATGGAACATTTTTTTCATCGTTTTAAAAATGCTTTTTGAAGTGAGGATGTTTAAAAGCTCAATTTCTGTTATATAAAGACATCTAAGTGAACATTCCTACAATTACTTCATTGATAGAAACCACAATAACAAGAGACGCTTTCTGTGTTTCTACACTCTTTCACTTCATCTCGATTCTGTTTCAATGGATCTTAAAAGTGAGCTGAAAAAGGCCAGTAACTATCAAAAGAAACATGAGCTACAGTTGTTTTGAAAGAAGCTTTAGCCCATGCTCTTTGCTTTCCCATCTTCTCAAGGAATTTTGACATCATTCTTAATAATATTATGGCCAGCTGCTGGTGTACAATAGGAATGACAGCATTTTCTAAAGGAGGAGAGAAAATTGGCCATTTAATAAAACATCAGCATCTGGAGACAGAAACAATGACGTGTCCTCCTCTTTCAGCTTGTCCTTCACATCTTCATCTCCTGTTTATGTTTTAAAGGTCAAACGCATCCCACATCCTTGGGCACTCTAGTAATAAACTAGAGTAAAGTTTATTACTCTAGTAACAACTGAAGACTTTATTAATAAAGTCCTTTACATCTCCAGTGGAAATCTCCAAGTCCTTGGAGATGCAAACAGTGTGAATGAATCCTAATCCACACAGCAAACTGCTGGAATGTACAAATTGTGCACCATCAACCCCTCTGACCAACACCAGCAGGCACTGTGGGTGAAGCGTCTTGCTCAGGGACACAGACAATGAAGGCGGGTGGACCGGGAATCAAACCAGCGATCCAACAATGAACTCCTACTCCCATCACCCACGATAACGTATATTCTGTGAGTCACATGAGGTCCACACACACTGTCCACTGTTGAGATTTCATAGTGGAGAAATTCCTTAACTTTCCACAATCCAAATGGATACTAGCAAGTTGGGCACCGAGTCTGATGCTTCGTCTCCAGGTGGGCCGCCGTACGCACGCCTGTTAATGCAGCATGAAGTGGCAGTTTGGTTGAGCAGTGTCCTGAATGGTTGTGCTGATTCTCAACCTGATGAAATCAGTATTGCATACAAAACAGTTGAATGTGAACATCCTAAAAATTGACGTGTGTGCAGACATGTCTGGCTCAAGATACGCTCAATCATGTGAGTGCCGTGACTTCTCCAGCGAGAAGAATGGAGGAGTCTGTTCAGTTTTACAGGTTCAATATCATAGGGTAATCAGAATCATAGTCAGAATAATCACAGACATAATGTTTTGCAAAATGTTACAAAACTAGAACTAATGCAGAAAAGCTACTTTTATGGGAAAATAATGTCATAAGATTTGCACATAAGTTTACAGACTGTTTCTCTGCTACCATTTCCTGAAAATTGGCAGCTTTTGATTGCAGCAATGTCTCCCATTTCAAATGGAAACTTTGAGTTTTCATTGCCTGCACAGCAGCATAAAAGACATCACCGTTCATATTAATGCCAGATTTGTCTTAAATCTGCTCCTGTAATGTAGCAACCTTTTACAACAATCTAGTAGCAACTCAAATTGAATTTTATGTCAATGTTGTATTGCTCTCCTGAGATTCTATTTCTTTAGCTTTGAAAATCTACTAAATACCAGATGATTTTATGTATTATGTCCTAATATGCTGAAATGAAAGAGGATGTGTTTATTTGTCACCATGACAGCAGTTAATAGCCAGAGACGATTCTTCACACAGTTAATGTTTTTCATGAGTGAAGTTGATTAAAATAAAAGCTCTGCATTCAAGTGCTTTAGCACAACTATGTTGCTTAGCAACTGAACACGGAATCTGCCTTTTCTATGACTTTTCTCCTCAAAGCAGTGAATTGCTTTGTGTTTTTCTTTTGCAGCTCAAAAGCATAGAAACATGGAGACAGAGAAGGTGGATCACAAGACTGAGTTTGTCTCCACACAAACAATTCCTGATTGAGTATTTCCCAACATAAAGGAAGAAAAGATTAGATTGAGAGGAGAAACCTTCACTGGTCTCCTCTGTGAAGCGTTTGTGTTTCTGGCTTGAATATATAAATGCTGACATGAGGCAGAAATAATAAGAGCAACACAAAACATCTGATACATTTTTGATTTTATGTCAAACACAAAGGAAAGAAAAAGAAATCTTTCAAATTCTGCTGTCAAGTAAAAATCTAAACTTTTAGAAATATTTTGCCAACTTTTAGTTTAGATCAACTGCATTCAATGCAATAATAATAATAAAAAACAAACAAATCTGGATTAATTTGCATGGATTGATCAATATGGGGAAACATGTTCAATTTATTAGGATTCCAACCTCATATTTTTGTTGTCTTTTTTATGAAGATTTGAATTCTATGATCAATGTAAACATCTGACAAAATGATCAAAGATTTCAACGTAAAGCTTTTTAAAAGATGTTTGCTTTGTGCTATGCTGCCATTGCCTTTTATTTAATATCATCAGATAAAGAAGCAGTGATTATCTATGCTTATTAAAAATCAATGTCTTGTAGCTCTAATTTAGATCTTGTGGTTCTTATTAAGGTATTGAGAAAAATATTGTCCTGTCACGATAAAAACCCGTTTATATGATGACAACAGTGTTTTTTCTAACAAGGCTGCCACAGCGAGAAGCAATGTTGGGGATAATAATCCGTGGACATCAACCTTTTTAAATGAAACATGTTTTAGAAATCAGAAATGATTAATAAATAACTATTTAAAATAGTTATCTAATATCTATTAATAGTTCTTTAATAGTTCATACTGCTATGAATTTCCTGAACAACTGAAGAATATTTTAGACTGGAATTTGTGTCCATTTTGGTGATTAATGTTGTATTTTCATGTGTTATTTTGCTAAATGTATTCAGCCAACTTCTTCCAATTTATTTGTCCATAAGTGCAAAGGCACTTATGGACTAAATCATTTGTATCATTTATGAACTTTTTAAAGTTGGTTTAAAACTTTTAAACTTTCTGATAAACTGTGCAATTTGTCTTTTGTTTCTAATTTAAACTCTCTGTGTATTATCTATGTTCATGAACTGCTTTGTCCTCTTCCTGCTCCCATTTGCAGGAGCTGCTGAGTTTTCCTCCCTGATTGTGCTCACCTGGTCCAACACGCCACCATTTCCTTCCAACTGCATGACAGCAGTTAATAGCCAGAGACAGCATCGACTCTTCACACAGAGCTAATGTTTTTCATGAGTGAAAAACATTAGCTCTGTGATTTTCATTTCTCTTTGCTGGTTCCTTCTGCTGCATCCTGTCTAGTTCCTTGTCCTGGTCTTCTCATTGCCTGTCTCTATTATTTTTAACATTTTATCATTAAATGAACCTAAGCCTTCTGAGCTGCTGTTTGCATTTGAGCCAACTACAAACTCAAATGTACAAAACCTAATTGAACATTGTAGAAATAGCTTGCTCAATTTTATTTTACAGCTTAACTTTTTCCAAGAACACTTGTTCATCATTGGTATCAGAAATTGCAATGCCGTCTTGGTCATTTATTTTGAACATTGAAGTCAGTGTAAATAAACATAGTTGGGTATTGTTTCTCCTAAATAATCTGACCACATGCAGGTCAAGAGTAAGTGGTCTTAATTTTTTATTGAAATAAAATGTACTAAAGCTGAGGCTCAGTGTTACCTGACAGCAGGAGAAAGACAGAGACAGATGGAGACACTGATTATGACTAATTGTTGGTGCATGTAAAGGCATACAGGCAGGAAGCAGTAATACAGGCATAACAGATAACAAGAGACAGACAGTCTGACAGACATGTGGACAAAGACAAAAGAGAGAGACAAGACAGACAGAGAGACATATTAAGAGACAGACAGACAAACAGAAAGACAATAAAACTGTGATCCACTCCTCAAGACTAACTGACTCGATTTCCTTATTGAGCACCAACCATCCAGTTTCTGACAAAATCCAATCAGTTGCGTAATTAAATCAGCTCTCTGTTACTGTTTAGACCATTTTTACTAACAGCATTCTGATGTTAGCTCTAATGTTTGACTAACTTAACGTCCTCTGTTTTCAGTCTCAGACAACTACATATTTTGGAATTTAAATAAAATGGGAGAAAAACTAGATATGAGAAACAAGAAATGAGTGACATACTGTGTATAGATCTATACAGATTTGACATTGAACTGATTCATTTCTTTGCCACTTTCTTTCCCACCAAGTGAATCCCAAACTGGTTCAAATTGGACGAGAACTGAGAAATGAGCATTCCTAGCTTTTACTTGGATGTCGTCTTTAATAGTGACAAAGAGCTACAGCTGACACATTTTTTCTGAATTAAAACTGCCGTTTAATAAAATATTGAAATAAAACCTGTCTTGTGATGGTTTCTACTTTCTGGTGTTTCAAACATCTATCCTCTCTGTAACTCCCTGACTGGTTCAGATTGTAACTAGGATTGGATCTGACACATCAGAATCATTTCATACTCCAGAATTTCAATTGCACAGTTTCATAATAAGATTTATGCAATGATTAAAATAATTTTCACATTCTGAGTTCATGACGGTGTCAGTATAGAAGATAAAAGAAAAGTGTTCCTTCCAAACTTTTAGCTGAAATCTTTGATGCATTTAATGGAAACTCTAATATTTAAGATTTGTTTAATTTTATAATTGAGGTTTTGGAGCTATGAAATCGAACAGACTATTTCTATAGAAATTGGACTGGAAGATATGCTAAAGGGAGAGAAAATCTGGAGAAATGACACATTCAATTCTGTTAGCATCTATAA